CAACAACAATAACAAAAAATGGTGATGTTGGTTTATTTCTTGCACAGATGGTTCATCTGGAGTTGTAATGAAAGACAAAGCCACCTATGCAGGTAAGTTTCATCGATATAAATATTGAGGAGCTAATTGACAGTGTACTGAAAATTTAATGTTGGATTGAACTCGTCACTCTTTCTGCAGAGATTCACAGGGACAGCGGCATCTTCGGAGGTGGAGGACTATGCTGTTGTTCGGACTCCTGTTGCTCCTGGTGGAAGTGGCTGCTGGGCCTTCTCCTTCTCTCCCTGCTCTTGCTGGGACTCCTGTTTGGCCTCATTGCTCTGGGTAAGATTGAACTGTGCAGCCTTATGAGAGTCCCACACCCCAAATGCCACAGATAAGACACCTCAGGAGTCTGAAGGGCCAGTTTCTAAAGCTGCTGTGCTGTGAAGGATCAGAGAGTGACTGTTTTTTAACCAATAATAAGTGTTTCAGCCTTTACAGACTAGTCTCCACTATTGAGCTGAGAAACAATAAATGTAATTCTCTCCCTGGAAATATGATCTCTTAGTGCCGTCCCACCCCCATAAAGTCTGGCATTCATTCATTGTCTACAGACCAGCTCTGGAAATCGTTGCTGGATGACATCAGAGACTCGAGTTTGCTTTGCCTGTAGCACGAGAGTTGTTCTTGTGGATTTACCCTGATAAAAATGTGATGTCAAGAACCTGAAAATACATTTGCAACTTACACTGAAGCATCCACAGCCTGCTCAGAGTCTGTGAACTGATAAACGTCTGTTTTTCATCATTCAGTTCAATACGTTATATATATATGTTATAACTTATAGCTTGGTTATATGTTAAGTTAAATATGTTCCGAGGGGAACACAAATGAATTTCCGAGTCTTCACTCTCAGTCTTAGACTGTGAAGCAACAGAGTTTGAGAGGATATACACTTCATTTTTATGTCCATCAACATCAGTCCCTTGAAAACACAGGAAAAATAAAAATCTGACTCTGTATGTCTGGATAAATAATAGCATTTTTTTTTAGCTTTTAATTGTGCTAGTATTCCATATATAGTTTAGAAACTGAGGCTTAAGTGCCATATTAAAGTTCATTCATTTCTTTCTAAAATCTGCATTTCCTCCTTCATCCTGGTATGGAGTTGGAGGGCTAAATAATCAGTTAAATTGTACAAATCATCATAACTGAAGCACAAACTTCTGGGATGGTCTGTACCACCCAGAAAGCCACGTTGAAGATCATACA